CAAAGCTGGAAAACACTGCCAACTATTACTCTGCACCATAAAGCCACCACAGAGCATAGAACAATACATTATATTACATCTAAGCTTCCCCTACAAAGTCAAATACTAATTTCTTGAACATGAGCATCAAATCCTATTCTTTCAGAAAACACATGCCAATGAAACATCTTACAGTAAGCAGTTGGATAAACTTTCTAATTTGAATAATGTCATGAATGTTATGAAAGATGAGGCTAAGCATTATATGAGAAGACCTGAGATTTGCTGAAATCCAGGTACGCTGTTTGCCCCTGAATATTTATCCAAGGGATAAATAAAGCAGGAGAAGTAAGCAGCAAAACCTTGAACGCTACCGGTATTAGCACTACTTCCAGATAAGAAATACCCCAATGCATTCAACATTTTTCCAGTAAGTAACTCAAGTCATGCTTCATTGATATCTTGCTGTTCACTCCACTTCCATTCAGTGACAAAGTGTTACAACATACACGCTAAGTCAGTTTTAGCCAACAAATAATCATCTTCTGCACAGGCAATAGACTACAGGAGTTCACCTCTTCATACAGAGTAACATATGCAAGCTTAATATAGTGTCAAGTGGGTAGTCATTTTTTTTTAAACCCACCTGAAAGGCCAGGAGCCATTAACGAATCAAGCTAATTCAGATTCTTCTGCTTGATGTTATTTTAGATTTTGTGGAACTGTACTAAAATGACTTCAGCAAGGGCAATGCAAAGCATTAGGTGATACAAGATAGCTCTGAGGAATGGGTCACTGTAATTATTAAATCAGAACTGCTGTTTCAAAAAGCTGCTTGGATAAAATATTAGCTACAGGCAGCTCCTTGCTTGACATGTTCCTGTCTTGGGACCCATCTGATGCCTTTGTTTTTCCCCCAAGCAGGGAGCCAGCTTCACATGCACAGTATAGGTAGGGTAACCATACATCTGGGTTTGGCCAGGACACTCCCAGATTCCGCAGCCCAGTCCCAGACTACTGGTCAAAAGTCCCAGGCTGGAGTCTGGCGATGAGACAGAGTGGCACAGTGCGCCAGGCAGGAGGCGCACTGTGCGCAGGAACAAGGCGGGCAGACTTGAGCAGGCACCATGCCACCCACACATGGCACACCTTGGCTCCTGCACAGCAGCAGCGGTGCCTACCTGCCATCTGCCTGGAGCACCATGCCACTCCACCTCTCTGCCAGACTCTGGCCAGGGAATTTTGACCAACCAGCCAGGAATGGCCTGGGAATCTGGGAGTGTCCCAGCCAAACCAGGATGTATGGTTACCCTAAGTATGTGTGTCTAGGCACTTCTCATGGCACCAGATTCCACTCCAAGAGTCAATCCCTACAACTCTAGCAATAAAGTCTGTTTGTTTTCTGTTGTGTTGTTCCTGTTGGTTTGGTTTGTTTTTTTTTAAATATACAGAAACCTAGCTCAGTCCCATACTTCACTGTTGTATCCAAACCTAAAACTCTAGAATGCTCTCTTCCTGGATAAGCACTGGAATAAGTTTGTGACAACAAGATAATTTGCTTTGTAACAATTCAATATGAAAAAACTGTACGCATTTTAGAATAGACAGGTTTTACATTAGGAGGTGTTGGATTTTTTTTTTTTACATGTCTAATTTACTACCAGCTCTCTGCATTGCTCTCTATACAAATATTGTCCTCTCAACAGTAAACCTTTAAGTGTCTAGCTTTGGTACACTTTTTGTTCAAAAAATAGTGGGCAGTTGATAAATATTTCTAGATTCCACTACATTTAAATTTTTTTCCTTATCAGTTTTAAAGACAACAGGAACCAATGATTTCAAAGCATTCTTTTAAATTGTAGGAAAAACTATTCCAGTGCATCTCTCAATACAAAATTTGTTTGCATGCATACACCCCCAAGGGATCTCTCTCTTCTTATATTACATACACTTCAAAAAAAGGTTTTGCTTGAAAATTTAGAGAAAAAGTTAAAATTATTTTTGAAAAGACACTCAGAAGTCAGCAACACTTTTCAGGACACGCAGTTTCTCCTGCTGCCCACTAGGGCTGTGTGAAATTTTAGCAACTGTTTCATTTTGGAGGCGTTTCAGGCCACTTCGGCACCCAAAACACCGAATTCAAATCAAAATGGAAGACTCAGAAACATCTCCAAAAAAAAACCAAAAACGAGGCATCTGAAACGTTTCAGAAATGTTTTGGAAAATTTCGGAGTTTCGGAGCTGGGCTGTACAGGGAAACAGCTGTACGGTGCTGCCCTGTCACGCAACTCAGCTCTGCAGGGAGCAGAAATCCATGCCGGGGGTCTCCCTGCCGCTGCTGCCCACCCCACAAAGCCCCACATTGCCGAGGCAGCACAGGGTGGGCAGCAGCGGTGAGGAGACCCCAGCACAGATCTCTGCTCCCTGCAGAGCCAAGTCGCATGGCAGGGACCAGCAGGCTTGCTCACTGCTCTGCACTGCTTCCCTGGCCTGCGACCCTGGTGTAACAGGGATCAGAGATCCACGCAGGGGTCTCCTTGACTGCACGGAGGGCAGCGCCCTCCCCCGGACAAGTCACCCATGACCCCATCCTGTTCCCCACTGAGGCCCCAAGCCGCTACACCCTGCCTGGATGGGTAGGGCTCTGCAAAGCTTCCCTTGCAGCCCGTTCGAAACAGATTCAGAGGAGATTCAGCTGAAATGAAACAGGACAGTGATCCAAAACACCGAAATGAATCACCGTCCTCCAAAAGAACTGAATTCAAAACCAAATCGAAACACAGCCATTTCTCACAGCCCTGCACCTACCACGTTCACAGAAGACAATCTTGCAATGTTGAGGTATGTGAATACCATTTAATAGTTTTATGCTAATAAAAAGCACTTGTAAATTCTAAAGCCACAGCAGCATGGGCTCTCTAGGTTTTATTTTTGCTCAAGGAAAAGTATGTTCTAACAGGCAGTAAATATAAACACTAAATTCACATGGAAAAAAGTTAACATGAAAGATGTTTGTGTTTTAAAATACTTTGATATAGAAACAGACAATACCTGGAGTATCTTGACTTTGACAGACAAAAAACTGAATCACTGCATTAAGGTGTGATTAGTCATCTTTTACTCCAGAGCTCAAATAAGTTATATTACTTTCCCATGGGATTTTTCTAGTCATTTACAGTTTATTATGTTCTATGGTTATAGAGTCCCTGCTGTGTTAAAAAATGCCAAATAAAATTTTGATTTCATTCACTGCTTTATCGTATGCCTTTTTTTGTTTAGATCCAATTAGTGTCAGCCTGTTCTTCATTTATCATAAACTTTTAGCGAATTATGTTAGGTACTGCAATAGTTCCTTAGCTTTTCCTTGCAACATTTTTTCCAGTGGTGCTATCATTACAATTGAGGAGGTACTTTCATCCCAAGCCTGTTTTCAGTCATTTGAGAAAGAAATTGAGGTTGCCCTCATCTGAAACATCTGGTTGCTCTCTACCCCCAAAAAAACAGTTTGAGATTTCTGTTTAATTAAAACTTCTGGCAGAACCCACTGCTCTTCCCCCAGAGAGTAGCTATCCTGCTGTGAAGAAGATTCATTTAACCTGTTAAGACTTTAGAGATACCTACTTTGCATTCAAATAGCTCAAAGAACCTTATTTCCTGGCCTTATCCAAAAGAACTTTGTGGTTAAAGCATCAGCCAAGCATTTTAAGACCCTAAAGTGTGCATCATGACCTACTCTTCTATATATACTCAAATCCTTATGAGCAGCATTACTCCATGGCTACTCATTACTATCTTGTCTTTGTTGCTATTACAATTCCGCTTAGTTTTTTGTTTGAAGAGGAAATAATTGTAAAAGCAGGATTTCTTTTTTCTCAGTTGCTTCATATTTTCAGCACATTCTCTAATACTTCCATCACCTTGGTGTGTATATAACTAATTCTATACCCTTTATATAAATAAAAATATTGGTTGAAAGTATCTTATTCTTCCCCTGACCCACCCCAAAAAATGGTGGGTAAAATAAAGTTGATCTTTTCTTGGTTTTTTTTGTTTGTTTGTTTGTTTACTCTTTCAGAGTGAACTAAGACTTGTAAATTGGGCTAAGCTGCTGACCTCTGTTCACCACCACAACACACCTACAGAATTTATTCCCATTCCCTAGTCCCTGGCCTCTAGGCCCAATTTAGCGTACATCAGAACTTTGGCAAGATGAACACATGTAATAGAACAGTAGACTATTTTCCACATCCACCCAATCTGCAACTTCCATTTCAAGATGCAGGTTGTGCTAGATAGCTTTCAGCTCCTGCTCCAAATTACTGAGTATGTAATTTTATATAGTTGCATTTTGCCTTTTTTTTTTTTTTAAAGTAATGAAAAAGAAATTCATTTTAAACACCATTTCCCGCATCCCTCTCCCCAATAAAACATAGCCAGAATTAAATGCTGGTGGTCAAAATTAAATAATGGCTATCCACTTTCTTCTTCTTTCCTTTGTGATAAAATTTTCATCATCATTGGTAGCATGTCATATTTTGCATATGCATTAGGGAAAAAAAAAAAAAAAAAAACAAAAAACCTCTTTACTTCCTGTTGCTCCTCTTAATATCTGTGCTAGGAGCCCCTAATCCTGGCCTTCTCCAGGATGCTTAAATCCTCATCAGGAGCTGCTCCACTCCTTGGCTTCTTTCTATCTTAGCCTACAGGCTTTTGATGTTTCTTACCTGCATACAAGACTAATCCCCTTTTCCTGGCCTCTCTGCCCTTTCTAGCTAAGAGTAGAGTCGTTGATTGTGTCCAGGAACCTAGCAGCAACCAATTATAGTTTGGATAGCCTAGTGAAAAACACATGAACACACACACTACTGAAATACACAGTTGTCTCAGAGAGGGGATATACCTATATTCCAGAGTTACTAGCATGCTTATCATGGTAAACAAGGTTGCCTGGCAGTTGGATTCAGATAGCTGGGTTTTCTGAATTTCAAGAAGAAAAATCTTTCTAAATTAGCAGTACTTACAGCACTGGAATCAACATCACTGTGCACAGCAACTGTTTTAATGCCCATCTTCTTGCATGTTTTGATGACCTAATTAAAAGACAAACAGTTGCATTTAAAATAAAGACTTCAGATAAAGACCACAGATAAAAATGGAGGTGGTGGTAGAGGGGAAACTTAAAAACTTACCCTGCAAGCAATCTCTCCTCTGTTGGCAATGAGGAGTTTCTCAAAGGTCTGAAAGAAAAGACACAGATATGGGTTCTGAGACACAACCAAGTCAACATTTATTTTATTGACATGACCATGGTTTGCCTATGTTGTGCACAGAACTTTCAAAAACTACTCTGCTACTAAGATAGTCCCTGAACTCATTACAGTCCCTTCTTCATTATTCAGGCTGAAAGGGGGACTCAATCAGTTCATATGAGCTATGAAACTATGATCAAGTCTCCTGTATAAGTTTCTTCAACTCTGAGTTGGAGTCTTTTGCTTTACTGCCAGGCTTTGGACTCTTAGACTTTGCCTACATTAAGAAGTTTGTCACTCAACCTATGTCAGCACTGGTTAAGTGGCAGTACTCTTCCAGCATGTAAGCACTCTAACTGCTTATGTGATGTGGCTTATTTTAAATTCACATGCTAAAATAAGCTGTACTGATGGCTACACATTCATTAGTGTTTTTACTAGCATAATTATATCAACCAAACCCAAGAGACACCACACAAGTCCCTATCCAACACAGGCAGTTCAACAATTTACATATAGGCCAGCTTTAAATACCCTTTCCAAGTCTCAAACAAAAGATTTTAACTTTCTTTTCTCCCAGTGGCAAGCATGCCTGTAAAGGGCACACAGTGCACTACCATTGCTCCCGAGATAGTGTTACCAAAACAGGGGGCAAGGAGAAAGGGAGGAAAGGAAAGGAGGAAGAGGTCCTAAAAATACTAGGGTGAACACTGTTGCCCTAGGTGGAATCGGATTTCTCTGTTCCCCCAAACCAGAAAAACCAAAGATCCACTGCCATCTCTACAGTCACAGACATTCAGAAGTCATCGGTGTCCTCCCCTGCACACTCTTCCCCTCCCCACGAAAAAAAAAAAAAAAGAAAAAAAAAAATCAATTTAGGCATATCTTGACATAGCAGAGTAGGCTCATTTAAATAAATACATGCAGTTACAGCCAAAGAACCAGTTTAGTTTCACCATCCTGGAAATCCCATATTACCATCACACTTGAAACTAGGAAATAATAAACCATAAGAGAACAGTGAACCCCATCTCACCACCCCTTCTCCAAATAAAAAAAAAAAAATATATTTGGCCTAGATGCCGAGCATTCAATGCAAATTCATCATCATTGAGAATGTGCAATAATGCTGCATCAAGCAAAGTGGTCAGCAGTCAGTAAAAACAAAGAGTTCAGGTATATCTAATAATAGCCAGGCCAACTAACTGCACCAGATTTTCAATTTCGTTCTAGGACTTCAGGATATCTATAGTTATTCCAGAGTTACCACCACAGGAACCACAGCTGACAACAAAAATCCAGGCGGAAAAAATCCACTTGTATAGAGTACCTTTAGGAATGACTCAGTGAAAGGGCATTAATGCAGTCTTGGGTTTAAAGCAGCAAAGTTAGGCAAGATAACTGTACATTGGGTTTATGTTTCTCATCTCAAATCCTGCCAAGCTGAGCTACACATTATTAGCTGTATGTATAGTTCAAGGTGAAGGGAGGCCAATTATAGTACACAAGTATGCGTACATGAGCATGAACACACAGGACTTAAATGATTCTAAAATCATGAGAGGTGCTAAACAGATACAATTTGTGCTAATGTCAATTATGAGTGAAAACATCCAGCGCTTTATTTTTGGTTGTGGTTTGGCTTTGTGTGTTTAGGGATCTGATCCAAAATCCAAACTAAGGCTTTCAGGAACCAATCTTTAGGCAGTTTCAGAAGTGTAACCTTCTGTTCCGAAGTTTTCATATTGTGGAGTACTCCACATTATGAATAAACTTAACCCCCAGCCTGAATATTTAGTTGAATAAGAATAAACTGCTTCATCGTGCAAGATAAGACTCGCATCAAGTATCAAAATGTTAGAAAAATATTTGACACATTTTATTCTGCAATCAATAAACTAAATAGGAAGATACTGGATTCTTGTTCCTGATGCTGAAACTCATCATCTTTGTGTCCAGAAAGAAAAAGTTACATACTCCTTTTAAGCAATATGTAATATTTCTCTTTAGCCCTGTCATTTAAAAACGTCTTAGCTAATTAGTTTAATATTATATCTGAGCATCATTATGTGCGCCTTTGTAGATTATTATTAAAGTTTGAGCCCCTATCTCCCTTATATGTGGTTATGTGATCAACAACTAATATGTGTGAATGGAAACTAAGCACCTAATTTCATGGACTTTGCTAGTGTAGCTCTATGAAAAGTACAAGGGGAAGGAAAGAGAAGGTCTCAATTAAGAAACAACTTCAAGGCTTGTAATAAATATTTAAATTCACCAAAAATTAAGTCACTTTAAGATCTCATAGAAGTGTTAGAATGATGTTGTAGCTCTGATGGTCCAGAAATTATGTGAAAAGCAAGAATTTTTGTGGGTGATACCTTTTATTGAACCAGCTGCATTTTTGAATAGTCAGACAAGCTCTAAAAAACTTCTTCTCCCTGCTTGAGAGGTAAGAGATTAGATTTTTAAAATGTTAAAAAGGTCAAGCTGCTAATGCAAAGTTCTTTCTACTGCCTTTTGTTCACCCTAACTTTCAGTGTATTAAGGAGCAGTCCCTATACTTCAGCTATTTTGAAATAGGTACCTAAATTTTTTTGGGACTACATGACATGAACAAGCTGCAACAATTCTGGTTATTGCACAAATATCCTGAAAAGGACTTGGGGTTTTTTTGTTTAAGCTTTGGCACTGAAGACAGACGCACTGGAAAGCCTTACTTAACGTTACAATATATCCAAAATTTTTACAACTTACCTTCTCATTTGGATCATATATAGCTGAATACAATGAACGGGAAGTTATAAGGCACCATCTTGAATGAAGTACAACACACTGAAAGAAAGTATATAATGTATTAAATTACAGCTATTTGTGAGTAGCTTAGTGTTCTTCCTCCCCGCCCCGCCCCTTTCATTTCTTAATAAAGTTTCTCCTTTTCCACCCTCCAAGTCTGCAAGGTAAAAAACTTTACCTCATAACTGTAACCTTGGGGAAGCGAGAGCAGGAGGGGGTGTTAACAAATACTAACTTAACATAGGTACTGTCCAACTTCTGAGTAACTAGGGGTCTCCCTGGGCTGCGCTGCCCCACTCCCAGGGGAGGGGGAAGGAAGCAAAAGATGGAGGAAGGAACCCAGAGATCCAAGAAGCAGCAAGAGCAAATGGGGAGTGGTGTCCAGGTGGGACTCTGCAGGCCAAAAATTAACCACTAAACTGACAGTCTCAGTTTAGAAACTCTCCTCAAGAGCTACTCTCCAAGATACAACACTTAGCAACAAAATAGAAAGTTACAACTCAATATTAACAAAAGAAAAAAAATGCACACCAAATTAAAAAGCTTCATTTACTTTGATACTTCAAGCCAGAAAGTACATGGTCATCACTGTGGTTATCTCATGAAGGCTATTAGCTGACTATGTAACAGTCAAAACTATCAAGCTGTTAGTATTAACTAGGGGTGCAACAAAGATCTTTTTGGCCAATACCAATGCCCAATTATTAACTAGCCATATCAGCCAACACCAATCCCACAGCCAACCAGCTTGGAGAGCAGCATACGGCCAGTAAGTCTGTGCAAGAGTAGGGGCATGGGGGGAGTAAATCAAGGCCCCCACAGTGAGGGAAGCAATGGGGCTGGGGCTGCCCAGCCAGGGCGAGGGACAGAGCCATGGGCAGTTCATCCGGGGAGTACAGGGGGGCAGGGAGGGGGCACAGCTCCTTACTGTTGCGCACACCCCCAGGGGAGGCATGAGGGGTATGTGCCCCCCAGATCTGTGCACAGGGCAAGGGCGGGCTACCCGCTGCAGGCTTAAGGCCAGGAGCTGTGTTGCCTCTTCCTGGCAGAAGGACTAGGCTAGGGCTGCGCTTGGGGTGGGCGGCAGCAGAACTGGGAAGGGGGACTACAGTGAATTTTGGGGTGGCTGTAGCCCACCCCATAGCCCCAGCTCCCAGGACTGCTGCTGCCCACCCCCACCCTGAGTGCAGCCCCAGCCCAACCGACTGCCAGGTAGAGGCTGGCACAGCCCCTTGCCCCGAGCCTGCAGCTGGCCCTCACCCTATGCACAAATCTGGGGGAAGGGAGCATTCTCCTTATGCCTCCCCCATGGGATGCTGCTCTCCAAGCTGCTGGGCTACATTCCTGGGCACATGGATGCTGTGGCTGCACGCACACACATGGCATTTAATTAGTGACATTATTGGCTATACCAGACTAAATAAACAAATAGATTGCCAATAATGTCAATTTTCCTTTTATGGGTGCCAATCCAATATGGACCAATATATCAGTGCACCTCTAGTATTAACATTTTCCAATTACCTACAATTTTATTATAAAAGGTAAAAGCACATGATTGACTATGTTCAGGTCTGGTCACCCACCACCTCAGAACACAGCAAAAGAAAAAAGAAAAAGAGAGTTGAGATAAATAAGAAAAAATAGTCAGATGGAAGAGCCTCTGAGGCAAAAGAAAAACTGAAAAAGAGATGGGGCTGTTTACCCCAGAGAAAAGAACATAAGGGGCATTTTTACACGTGCTTTGGGATGCAGCACTGGGCACTTTAATTAGCAAGCTGTGCTAATTAAAAGCACCCGTGCATCACGTGTATCAGCATCCCCGTGCTGAAAAAATGACAGCGGGGCGCTTTGTACTAAAGCTCATTGAACATTTTTTCAGTGCGAGGATGTTGATACACATGACATGGAAGGCTGCTGGAGCCCATCAATTTCTGTGCTCCAGCAGACTTAATTAATCAAGTCTGCTCCAATGCAATGGATTTCTACTGCATCGGAGCAGGCTCCCCACATGTCTATAGGAGTGCAAAATGTTCCCAAACACTTCTCTGTAACATGTATTCAAACATGAATGGTAGAAGTTACCCAAAATTGAAAGAGACAGTAAATTCAAAATATAAGAATTCCACAGCAGGCTTCAATTTCTCTCTGGCCTACTCGTTCCTTGTAGCTAACTAGGCTATACAAAACCTCCAGTCCCATCTAGTATAGCAATATTCAAAAAAGCAGTTTTCATTTTACCCACAGTAACTACTGTAATCATCTTCAGAGAATCAGAGGGCTAAGCAGGATAAGACACTTTAGATACCCAAGCAAGAGCTTTAAAAGAGATACAGATTCTCAAACTGCACTGAAGGATCTTAAGACAAAATGCTGTGTTCACTCAGCAGTCTGAAAGTTTTTATGGGTTTTTTGTTTTGGGGTTGGGGGGGGGGGGGGGGTGTTGTTTGGTTTGGTTTTACAAGCACAGGAAGTTGTTACATTTTTTTTTAACTGAAGTTTCAAGTCCGTCAATGGCAACCATGGTGTACATTGCCCAAACTTACAAGAGCATTTTTTTTCTCATTAAAGGGATGGGGAAGGGGAAGAGTATTGTTTTAGATTATTTCCAAGTGTTTAATCGTAAAATCGGTATTAGGAAAAGAACAAATGCATCTTCTCTCATAAATTAGGCTTCTCTCCAGCTAGTTTTATTTACTTAAAAACCTGTATTGCCAAGAATAGATTTCAGCAATGCAAATATGAAGATACTCTGAAGCCTTTGCTCTCTCAAAAAAGTGTATCTTAGAATGCTTGAGAATTATACCATCTTAAAAAGGTGGAAATATAAACTTCTGCACAGCCAAAGAAGACTCATTAAAGAATGCATACTTGAGTAGGGCATGCTCTGTTCTGATCTTATCAGACTACACCTCATGTAACAAACAGCACTTAACTTATTCCACTTACAGGTTGATGCCCAGTTCTGTAATGCCTAGCCGTGGCCAGATGATTTCATGTATGTTTGTATTAGCACAGCATACAGTAGTGATCTGGTCCAGTAAAAAACACAGTAACACCTCATCAAAAGTCACATTTGCTTTAAGAAAGCAAGTGCATTCAAGAAAATACTGCTTAAAGGTCTGCCTCTACTCACATATGTTGGACAGAAACAAGTTTACTAAAAAAAAAAAAAAAAGATTTTGTAATAAATTTGACAAGGACATAAGGCTAGGTCCATTAAAAAAAACAAACCCAAAAAAGAACTTAATTACAGAAGCTCCAAAATTGCTGTTCAACTGTGGCATAGGCCCACACATGTCCAAGTCCTTCAGTACTCAAGTTTTCCTTCTAGGCACACAAACCTAACCTGCAGCACACAGAATAGTCAGAGGCCAAACCCAGCAGCAAGAGTCCTAAACAAAACACACCCTCAGTAATCACACCTAAAAATGTCAAGCATAGTTATGCCAAATTCAACACATACAAGGAACAACATGTTTTTGTGTTGTTTTGGTTTTTGTTTGGTTTTGTTTTATTTTGGTGGTTGGAGGACTGGAGGTGGGGACCTCACTGTTTTGCTGTCTCTCTAACCTATTGAAATCTGAATTATTTTCCAATCAATGGAACAGCTTCTCCAGGAGGCAAATGTTCCCCACTATTCTAGCCTATGCCATACTCTAGTGATTCTCAAATCAGGGTGCCACAGCACCCTAGGGCACCTGAGATACTTTCAAGGGTGCTGAAGGGTGCCACAAAATATTAGTACTGTTTGGTGTGCAAACATTATTCACAAGATAAACCCAGGGATTTCAAATAAGAATCCACAGAGTTAAGAACTTTCTGACTTTCCAAGTTCTCAAGCAGAAGAATTAAGAGCTGGCATTTCCCAAGGGGTCTAATGAGGGGTGCAGAGTCTAAAAAGGTTAAGAAACAATAGCCTAATCTTTGAAGGACTCTCCAGAGAGGTGATGTAGGCCTCTGGCACTGAAAGATGTGGCACAGACAAACATGCTTTACTGGAAAAAGTAATGCATTCCTTGGACCTGGCTTGGCAGTGTCTGTATAGATCAGGCAATTCAGTGGGTTTTTTTGGCACTTTTAGCTAAAGCCAGTTCAATCAGCTATTAGATAAAAGCACCAAAAAAGCCCCGCTAAATCACCCACTCTATATGGAAGTTGGGGAAGTGAAGTGCAACTAATGTGCTGCCTCTTCTGGGCATGTGCTGGGCTCAACAGAGGAGCGCACCAAGTTTAAGGCAAACACCATATTTTGGGGTTCCCCCCCCCCCATGTCTGTAAGATACCCTCTGAGCCTGCAGGAATTCAGACCCAAAATCTTTTGCCTCTCCCTTCCTCAGTCAGTGTCCTAACCATAGATTTGATGAAAGGGGAAATTCACCCCCCTTCTTCAGTCCAGATTTTGAAAGGAAGTGGTCACAGCTAAAAAAAAAAAAAAAAAGTCATTTATGTGCTGCTATGCATGCTCCAAGAACATCTACCAGATCAAGGGGTCAAGAATAGCTAATCCATGGATGCTACCTTTATAATAAGCTAGCTCAGGTACCTACAACAGTCCGCCAGAGCAACACAACTCAGTGAAAGGTAACTTAGCCTTCTTCTCAGATGGGTTTGGCAGCCTGCACAGAGCACCATGATGCGACAGCTAGACTGCTACCAATGCATCAACTCTCCACTGTAGTCAACAGTGACCACAGTGTAGAGCTACCCTACACTGATGCAAGAAATGTGATAAACAACCCAGCACTGTCAAAACTGCAGCAAGTTGCAAGCCAAAGATCTCCAACCATCTGGAAAACTTGAACTGACTAAAAGTGTTTTCTTTTTTAGACACCTGAAAATCAGGGGACAGCCAGCAGCTGAGTGAGACTCCCTCCCCAACATCACCATTATGTAGTTAGGAACCTGATTTCTGCTTACATGCTTTATTTGCTAAAGAGTCTGAAAATCTGGGGCTTAACTTTAAATTTCTGAACAAAGCGAGGTGGGTTCTCACAACCACTTATGATGATTAACACCCAGGTGCACGCCAGTC